CCCTAAAAAAATCAAGGTATTGACTTAATGTATAAAAATAATGAAATAAAAATTCAAAAAAAAATATTTTTATTAATTATATTATTTTTAATAAAATAAAAAGAATTAAAATGTTCTAATTTTAACTTTAAACTAATTTAGAAATCAATATTTTAAATAAATCCATAAAAATAAGTATCTTACTAAAATAAATAATAATACTATAAAAATACTATCATTTGTTATTTATATGTTATCTAATGATAAATCATTTTTTTAATACGCTATATTTTTATTCACACTTTTAAATTAATATTATAATTGAATTTTTTTTTCATTTTTCATTTAATAAATCTTTTCTTTTTATATTTTATTTTTTACTTATTCATTTTTACATTTATCCTGCATTTATTTCTAATTTAGTCATATTTAGCCTAGAGAACACTTAGACAAACATAAAGTTAATCAAATAATCATAATTATGTGTTTTATATGTGACATTACTTAAAGTATAAATATATATATTTTAATTGTGGAAAATATTTTGAAAAATATTTATCAATATATAATAATGATGATTTAAGAAAAACCTTAATAAAAATATCAAAAACGAAAATTTATAAAACGAAATAGTTTATTTTGTAATATTTTAGATTTTAACTTTAAAAAAGGCAAAAATATAAAATATAAAATATTTTATAATAAAAATATTTATAAATCTAAAATCATTAATATTTTTAAATAAAATTAAATATCTTAAAATTTATTATTAAAGTATATAAAAGAACAAAGAATTTGGAAAACTAAAATATCTAAATTTCAAAAACAATCATATGAAAATATAACAACTTAGAAATAAAAGACTAAAAATATCATAATTTAAATAATAACTATTATTTTTTAAAACTAATAAAGACAATGTAAACTTCATTGATACTAAAAACACTCAAAACGTATATAAATAGTTAAAAACAAAAATATTAAAATTAAGAATTAAAAAAACACTTAAAAATATCAATAAATTTCAAAAGAAATAATTATTATTACTTAAGAAATGTTTTTATGATTTAGATTATTTTAAAATAAAAATTGATAAAATTATTTTTTAATTATTTTCTTTATATTTCGTTCAAATACACAATATTTTTAAAAAAGTCATTATTTATTACCATTATAAATGAAAGTATTTATGTTAATTGTTTCTCTTGGTATATCATATGTTTTTTCAGAAAATATTGGTATTTATTTTTTCTTTTTTTGTTTTTAATTTTTTTTAGAATTTATATATAAAAAATCTATTTTATCAGATTTAATAAGGTATAAAAACTTTCAAATAGTGTTGAAAAATGTATAATTAATGCATTTCTATATAGTGAAGAAAAATTTTTTGCTTTGATTTTAAAAGAAAATGCATTAAACGATCAATGTCAAATAAAACTAAAGGAATATTGTAAAAATTTGGAAGACATGAATTTGAACCCGAAAAATCTACATTATTTATTGAAAAAACCATGTGAAGAGATGAAAATAAAAGAAACGTGCGATAATTTAAAAAGCAAGATTAAACAGACATGTACAACATATGAGAAAGTTTTTGAAAGTATAATAAAAGAATCATTTTTAAGGCAACAAAGTTGTCTATTAGAAGATAACTGTATGTTTTTAGAAGGGGCATGTCCAATGGAATTTAGACAAAAATGCAACAAATTAAGAGAAAGATGTAGAAAAAAAAAACAAAATGAAATAACAGAAAAAATTCTTTTAAGAATATTAAGCAAAAATTTAAAAAACAAAGAAACTTGTGAAAAAGTTATTAATGAAAAATGTCTTTTACTAGTGGAAGAAAGTAATGAACTAATGGAATTTTGTTTAAATTCTTCAGACAGATGTCAAAAACTTATAAATATGATGAATACTCAATGCTCTAATCTTGAAAGTGATATTAGCTTTTTATTTACACACAATGACACCCTAAAAACACAATGTAGTTCATTACTTGAAAAATGTTATTTTTATGAGGCAAATTGTGATGATAATATTCAGACTAACTGTGAAAAATTAAAGAAAAAATGCGAAAAGCAGACAAAATATACACTATTAAATTTAACATTTAATCCAATAAAAAACATTGCACTAATGGAAAAGATAGGAAAAGAAGAATTATTTGGAGATGAAATTAGAAAGCCAAAAATAAAGGATACGATTGATCTTTTAATATTAATAACAAATAGTAGTTTGAAAGAATGTAAAACTCGTCTTAATAAGTGTTATGAATTTTGCAACCTTTTGCCTCAATTAAAATATTTATATGATAATATTACAAAAGAAATGAGTAAAAATAAAGAAGAAATATGTACTACCCTAAAAAGTAAATTGAAACTTAGATGTAATGCTTTTAAATTAAAATTGGCTGACTTATCATTGTCAAATACCACTAAAGACTATGAAGAAGCTGCATTATTAGGATGGTTCGAGCAATTTACAACCCTTGATGATCGACTCTGCGCAAATTTGGAATCGAGATGCTTCTATTTACAGAAACCTTGTAATTCAGAAAATATTAAACTTGATAATGCATGCAGTAATGCAAAATTAGCATGTTTAAAGATGCGGGTTTTTAGAAAGGAATATCAACTATTAGAAACCAATTTAAGGGGAAAACTACATAACTTAACGATTAAAAGTTCGCTTAAAACATGCGTAAATGAACTATTTAATTTGTGTAAAAAAGAAACTAATATTAAAAAACCAGTATTAATAAACTTATGTTTACAACCATGGGATACTTGTAAGGAACTTGCAAATGATATAGAAAAACAAAGTAAGAGGCTTAGAAACGATCTGGATCAAAAAAGGGATTTTCCGGATAAAGAGGACTGCAAAAAACTAAAAGAGAAATGTGAAGTGTTAGGACATGATTCAAAAACGAACGACTTACCATGTTTTACACTGAAAGGGCGATGTGATCATTTGGAAAATGCTAAGGAATTAGAGGAAATTTTGTTAGAAGAAAAAGTAGAAAATTTAGGCAATTTAGATACATGTATAAAAAAAGTTTCAGAAAAATGTAATAAATGGTCTAAAAAAAAGAGAACAAGATTTATTTTTTCGTGTATACAATTAGTCACTACTTGTCAAATCATTACTAGAGACATTAAATCTAAATGTTCTGTATTAGAAAGGAACATAGATATTGAAGACGTTCTAGATCAAGTGAAGAGTGATGATGCAGACATAAAGGGTCCTACATGTGATTTATGGGAGCCTTATTGTGATAAGTTTATGTTGAGCTGTGAAATACTTGTACAAAATAATGGAAAGAATGGAAAGTGCAAAGAACTAAAGGAGAGCTGTGAACCCTATCGTAGAATACAAGAACAAGAAATGAAACTTATGTATGAATTAAGAGGAGGTCTCAATAGCGAAAATAAATGTAAATCAACCCTTAATGAACACTGTTTGCATTGGGATAAAACGAAAAATGATACATTCAAGAATTTCTGCAACAATAACACTGATACCAAAAATAATACAACTAAAAATGAACTGTGCAAGAAATTACTAAAATATGTAAAGGAAAGATGTACAAAATTATTGGCAAAATTAAATGGCATGGCAACGGAAATAGAAGAAAATGTAAAGATTGTTGAAAAATTGAACGAAGCAGCGAAAAAAGCACTAAAGAATACAAATCTTATTTTAACTTCAAGCAAACAAAAAACAGATCCTAACATAAATAACGCAACATTAATTCTAGCTTATAATGCAAATGCTTACAGAAATATAAATTTAAAAACAGATGTAACTTTGAAAAATCAATCAAGGTATTTGGAACAAAAGGAGACAAAAGTGAATATTACAGAAAAAGAAGTTGAAGCGTTTGATGTAGCAGCAGAAGCATTAAAGGTTTATACAGAAGTCAAAGCAGAGTGCAAAGGTCTGCAATTAGAATGTGAATTTAAGGAAGATTGTTCTGAATACAAAGATGTATGCAAGAAAATTGAAGATGCATGCAATAAATTAAAGTCACTGGAAATCAAGTCTTCAGAAACAAAAACAATTAATCAAACTATAAAGACCATCATTACAAAAACCGAGACAAATACAACACAAAAAACACTGACGACAGGAGAACAATGTATGTCGATTTC